CAGCAACTGAATGGGAATGGCCATTATAGCAATCTCAAAAGCGGTTATTTGGAGTCCATAATCAATGTTTATCAAATAAATGAATGAATAAAAAAGTTCCTAGCACACAACAGGTGCTTCCTTGAATGGATAAGTAAATGTATGTAAAATTCAAACAATCTAGGCATTCAGTAAATGCAGGTCCACCACCTCTTATCCACACTTTCAAAATCTGAAAAGCTTTGAAAACCAAGTTTTTTCATGAGTAATTTGGCTGCAATCCTGACCTGACTGATTGACTGACTGACTGATTGACTGACCTGACCTGGCTGTTCAATGTTGCTGCAGAAATAGTGACACCTTTAAAGATGGGCTGCAGCCCCAGCACCTCCTTGACGTGTTATGTAATATATGGTATGTGCACTGTGTCATCTTTTTGTTTTTGTGCATTTTTAAAGTACTCTCATTTTTATAAGTACTTTTGCTTTTTTTTGCCATGCCACTCGTCTTGTCAGATCTTAGTTCCCTGACAAAAGATCAAACCCCCACCCCTAGAAGCCTGGAGTCAGCAAGAATACTGGAATGGGTTGCCATCTCCTCCTCCAGAGGAACTTCCCAACCCAGCTCTCCTGCATTGCAGGCAGATTCTTTACCACTGAGTGACCGGGGAAAGCCCCTCCTAACTACTGGACCACCAGGGAATTCCAATGTCACCATTTTCAAATCTGAAAAATTCGGGATTCCAAGAGGCGTCTGGTCCCAAAGGTTTCTGACTGGGGACTGTCAACCGATATCTGTTGAATGAATGAATGGATGCATGCATGGAGGACTACTACCGACCACAGATGCCTCGCTGCCAGCAGGTGCTTGGTATAGCTAGTTCCAGAGTCACACCTGGTTCTACACCCCCCACTGCCGACCCCGGGCCTGGGCGCTGGAGTCCCACCCTCACCTGCGGCAGGATGTGCTGTGTGTGGTGCACCCAGTTGGCCATGGAATCCACTAGCTCGAGGACTGGGATGCCCTCAAAATCGGGGTTCTCCTCATAGGAGTCGCGCCCGGCTCCGCCCTCCTCCTCTTCGTCGCCCTCCTCCTCGCCAAACTGGTAGAAGCCAAGGGGACTGATGTGTGTGGCGGCCGAGATGCGAGCGATCTGGGCCCGCAGGTAGTTGGCCTCGTTGCCCGGGAAGGGCGGGTAGCTGATGACTGGCGCGTCCAGGTAACCCGTGAAGAACTTCCTGATCTTGCGGGCCTGCACGATCTGGATCGGCGTGACGTGGGGCAGCCGCATCCACGGCCGGCCCGGCTCATTGCAAACGAAATACAGGTACCTGTTGGTGCCGATTCGGCTCTCTTCCTTGGGGATGACGGGCGGCGGCTTCCACGTGGGCTTGGGGATGACGTCCATGACCTTGTCTTCGTCCTCGTCACCCTCCTCCTCGTCGTGCGCCTCCATCGCCTCTCCGCCCTCTGTCATCTCCTCCAGCTCTTCCTCCTCCGCCTCCTCTTCGCCCTCCCGGAATTCCACCTCGGCCACCAGGTAGCTGCGACTGAGCCCCAGGATCTTGCCCCAGAAGCGGCAGGTGTGGATGGGCTGCTGCTCCACCAGCTGCTTCAGGGCCATGAAGATGCGGAAACTCTCATCGGAGCTCAGGCCCACACCGGCCTGCTCGAAGTAGAAGGCCTTCTCCATGATGTTAGGCACCGCGGTCTCAGCCTGCAGGGGGGTGGGGTAGGGAGCGGAAGGCAGAGGGAACCAGGTTGAAGCCTTGCTCCCCATGCTGATTCTCCTAGAGTCCAGAGACTTAAACTATTCGGTAACCCAGTTGCTCACGCAACCATTTCTGGCCACTGATGTATGGTTGTGTGTGCCAAGGGACAATGATGCTTAAATAGTACCTGTGTGAGTACTCAGTTGCTCGGTTGTGTCTGACTCTTTTGCAACCCCCATGGACTATAGTCCACCAGGCTCCTCTGTCCATGGGATTCTCCAGGCAAGAATACTGGAGTGGGGTTGACATTTCCTCCTCCAGGTGATCTTTCCAAGCCAGGGATCCAACCTGCATTTCCTGCATTGGCAGGCAGATTCTTTATCACTGAGCCACCTGGGAAGCCCTTAAATTGTATAGTTGATGTAAAAGATTTGGGGACAAACATACTGTGTTTTTTTCTTAAAGGTGTATAATGCATTCACATTTTCTTCAAAGCTCCATTTGTGAACCCGGTGTTATTAATAAAAGGAACAAGTACTGCATCTTCTTTCTATTAATGCTAGACTGGTTCCTTATTCACAAATATTAGAAGTCCCTCTCCACGGGGGGATTATGTATTCCCACCCCCACCCCTGCGCATTCAGGATTGGTCATGTCACTTGCTCTGACCACTTGAAATGGGAGTGAAAGGGACACGGGTCACATCCAGGCAGGAGCTGTAAGAACCTGTGTGGGGTTTGCTATGCCTTGATTTTCCTGCTCTGCAACTGTGGGGGCCTGAGTCACGGTGGCATCTCCATCACCATTCATCTCAAGTAGCTGATGAGCCGAACCTCCTAGTCCAACCTGGATGGGTAGGTAGTGTGAGCGAGAAATAAACTGTGTGATGTTAAGCCGCTGGGCTTGTTGCACTGTTTGTTATCTCAGCTCGACATGGCACACCCTAATACTCTATAGGAGGAACACCATGATTTTGAAAGTGATTCTGGCAGTTTCCCGCAATCTGAAAGATAGGGCAAAAGCTTCTTTGCCTAATTGACATTTACACCAGCAACTCAGTGGGACAGTCAAAAGTGAATCCCCAGACTGACTGTGCTGCCGGCAGGGAAGCTAAGTGAATGAGCAAAGGAAACTCTCTTTGGAGTGTGTGCCTGGCCCGTGAGCCTGTGGCCATCACCCTCTTTCTGGGAATGTCTTCTATCCACTTGGCAATGGAGTGGCCTCACCAACCATGATCAAATTATGTCACCCTGCCCTCTGGTCACTGTTGACTGGAGCAAGTGAGGACCAAATGGCAGCTCAGGCTCTCCTTCTCTCCCTCTGTAATTTGTAACTGGGTGGAGAGAAAGTACAGCTGTTGTCCGCCTGCTTAGAAATTACTTCTGTGGGTTGGCTGGGTTTGAACCCAGGTTGGTCTGGCTCCAGAGGCCATATTCTTAGCCTCTACTCTTTAACTCCTCTATTAACTGTGGAAGCTTCCTCTTTCTTTCTCCCAGTTTCCAGGAAGATGGTATCTATGATCTGGGGGAAAAGATTTCCTACTGGCAATTGGATGGAATTTAAAAAATTAGGAGCACAGGGGAATCTCTGAATGCCAGCTTGGCCTGGGGTCCAGCTACATTCCTGCCCTTGGGTTCGCTGGGTTCAGTCGACTGAATCAGCACCATCCTCAGCCCCCTTCTCCATTGCTTGCTTTCTCCAGGCTGGAGAAGTGGAGAAGCTCCACAGTCACTTTCCCAGCCTCCTTTGCAGCCAGGGATGGTCATGTGACCCAATCTGGCCAATAAGATGCAAGCAGAGATTTTCTGAGGGGCTCCAGATTGACTGATTGATTGACTGGACCATGCTGCCCAGCTTGTGGGATATTAGTTTCCCAACCAGAGACTGAACCAGCACCCTCAGCAGTGAAAGGGCCAAGTCCTAACCACTAGACTGCTGGGGAATTCCCTTGCTCCCTGGATTTAAAGAAAAAGGGAGTCAGTGGGTGGGAGGGAACTTCTTGGTGGTCCAGTGGTTAGGACTCAGCCCTTTCACTGTTGTGGCCTGGGTTCAGTCCCTGGCCAGGGAACGAATATCCCACAAGCCGCGTAGCTCAACCAAAAAAAAAAGGTGGGGGGGAACATACTGAGAAGAGCTCCCCACTCCCCTTTCGGGGCACTGGTGTGGAAATATGATGTCTGAGGCTGTAGTAGTCATTGTTCGAACATAAAGTGATAAACAAGGTACCAAGCGTCAACATGATGATAGCAGAACAGAAGGGAGGGAAGCGCTGGGACTCTCCAATATCTCACAGAAATGCTGCCCCAACTGTACCCACTCTCAGCACAGTGAAGTAATGAAGTGTTTTGCTGGACTGCTTGGGCCAAGTCCCTGCAGCCCAAAGTGACCCTTACTGAGATAAGGGTCAGAGATAGGGTTTATACCCAGGCTTTAGCCTGAAAACTGCTTTCTTGGTTTGGATGGAGTAAGGGCGATGGATGAGGGAGAGAGAGGGGAGAAGATAGCCCTCAGTATCCCTTTGCTGAGGAGCCACCTTGCCAACTCTATACTGCTTGCACCTGACTGTTAGGTGTGAGAAAAACTATCTTGCCTAAGCCACTTGTCTTCATTTCTGTGACATCTATTTCCTGTCTTAAAGTGATCTCTGTTGACAAACAAGTACAAGAATGATACTAAAGTTTCTTTAAAACTATAAACGTAAGACTAGTGAGGAACTTTCCAAAACAGAGGTGCAGTGACGGGGAGCCTTATGCCAACTGTGCAGCCAAATCTGCTATGCAGCGATTGTACACAACAGGCAGGAGAGTCCCAGAACAGAAAACCATCTACAGAGCAAGGCACAAAGCAGGGACTCCAGAAACAGACTGGAGTCCATACAGGTGTAAATGAATGGCAGGGGTGGCATTTTCAAAGCAGGGGAAAGGACAGTTTTCCCATAAATGCTGTTGGGGAATCATAAAAGAAACAGAAATTCTTTCCATTTGAAAGAAATAGAAAATGAGAGGAATGAGAGCCCCTCACACAGAAAAATAAATACAAAATGCTGAATAACAACTTCGATTTTCTTCCTAGAACCATGCACAGGCCACAGATACCCGCAATAATTTTGCCCTTTTACAAACCTCATATTAAAAACTCCAGCTCCAAACGCAAACATCAAAAAAACAGCGACCAAAAAAACCCCGCCTCCAAGTTCTAAGGGGTGGGGCCTCTAGTGACTTGGCTTCGAAGAGGGCGGAGCCTCCCTCAGAATTATATTTCAGGGGGCGGGGCCGGGGTGGAGCCTCCAAAGGCACAGCGTTCTAAGAAGGCGGGGCCATCAGGGACTGGCGGTAGATGTGGGTGCGACCTGGAGGAGACTGCTGATCTAAAATTTAAAACCGTATTTTCAGGTAAAACTGTTCGTGTCTAAGACTTCTAAGGTCTGCATTCTTTTTTTTTTTTTTTTTNACATGCTCAGTCATGTAATCTCATGGACTTCAGCCAGCCAGGCTCCTCTGTCCATGGACTTTTCCAGGCAAGAATACTGGAGTGGGTTGCCATTTCCTTCTCCATAAGTCTGAATTCTTATCTGTCTAATCTGTCTAAGCAGATTCCCACCTGCGCTCTGCTCACCCAAGGGCTTATTCCTTGGTCAGAGTGTCGTTCCCGGGTCTCTCAGCATCTCACCCCATTGTGGCCAGAATCCTAGAATTTCAGAAGCATGAGACGTGAGCACAGACCAACAGCATCTGCAGAGATGACCGAGATGATAGCCCAGGCTTTGGAGGACACAGCTCTGCCTTCTTCGTCCTGTCTTTTCTAGTTTTGAGCCCTCTAAGTCCTTCCTCCATGAATAGGAATAATAAATGGCACTTGCCTTAAGGTTGCTTCAGGGATGAAATGAGCCTACACTCCTAAACCTAGGAGATGTCAGAATTATCGTAAACAGAGAGTTGTCAACAAATGTTTCTTTATCTTTCTTTCTTTTTGGCTGTACCACAGGGCTTGTGGGATCTTAGTTCTCTGACCAGGGAAGGAACTTGTGCCCCCTGAATTGGAAGAGTGGGGTCTTAACCACTGGACCACAAGGGAAGTTCCCCCAAAATGTTTCTTAAACAAGTGAAAGAACATTTCAGCCAAATTTTAAGCCATCATCCCATGCTGTATCCAATGCAGGAGATACCATCCAACGCCGGAGATGCAGGTTCAATCCAAGGGTTGGGAAGATCCCCTAGAGAAGGAAATGGCAACCCACTCCAGTACTCTTGCTGGGAAAATACCATGGACAGAGGGGCCTGGCGGGCTACAGTTCATAGGGTCACAAAGAGTCAGACATGACTGAGCGACTGAACACAATGCTGGAAAGAAAATCATGGAATTAAATATTCTAAGGATAGTAGAATGTTCATGAGTCGTGGGTGGAAGACTTGTTAGCAGGTCTCAATTTGCAAAAGAGGAAAGTGAGTCCAGGGGATAGAACGCACATTCAGTGTTGAAAAACTCCAGAAGGTAGCGGGTTTCATAGAAAATATACACGAAGCAGTTATTTTGCAGAAAGGAGGAAAGGATAGCAGAAGAAACCAGCCTCTGCCTCCATGTGGTGCTGGAGTCAGGTTTCTACAACGTTTCCTCTGCTTCAAACCCTCTGGTGATGCCCCAGTGGCCTCAGGAGAAAGCCCAAACCCCTTAGCCTGGCGTTCAAGGCCCTCTGTGACCGGTCCCACCACTACCGCTCTTTCTGCCGCTCGCCCCTTCCCACTGGCTCACTCACCACCTCCTCCTCCATCTCCTGCTCGCCCTCGCCGCCGCCGCTCCGGCTGAACAGCGCCCTCTGCCTCTCGGCCATCTCGTAGGTGGGCTGCATCTCCGGGTCGTCCCGAAGCGTGTCCAACTTGGGGTGGAACCATTCCCACTGAGTGGTGCGGTTCAGCGACTCCAGGAGGAACAAGGGGTCCTCCGGCCTCTGGTTCAGGATCTTGGTCAGCAGGTTCACCAGGTGCTCATACCTGCTTCAGGGAGAGGGGAGTATGAGGTGGGGGACATTGATCACTCAGTTTGCTGAGCTTGCTGTTGTGTATCTGGCCCTGTCCCTGGTGCTGGGGACACCGTAGATAAGAGAAAAGGTCCCTGCCCTGATGGACCTGACAGTCTGGTGATAGAGACAGATAGTAACCAAATGAGCAAAATATACAAACTATACGAAAGTGTGTAGTTATAGGGAGATAAACAAAGCAGGAAATGGGGGTTGGAAATGCCAGGGATAGGAGGTGGTTTGAGATAGGAGGAGTTTTAAATAGGGAGGCCAGGGAGAGCCTCACCGAGGTGACTTTTAAGCTGAGATCTGAATGATCTTATTCAGTGAGGGGGTGTACTGTACAAATATTAGAAGGAAGAGTGTTTCAGTTGGAGGGAATAGCATACACATAGGTCCTGAGACATTTCATGAGTCTAACATAATCTTGATACCAGAACTCACGGAAAGTAGGAGAAAGGGAAAGTCCATGCTAATCTCATTTAGAACTATATATGCTGAAATCCTAAGCAAATTATTAGCAAGTGGTACCTAGCATTCTTAAAAGGATGTTGTTGTTGCTGTTTAGTTGCTCAGTCCTGCCCAAATCTTTGCAACGCTACGGAAAGACTGTAGGGCTGGAGAAGGAAATGGCAACCCACTCCAGTATTCTTGCCTGGAAAAGTCCATGGACAGAGGAGCCTGGCAGGCTGCAGTCCATGGGGTTACATGACTGAGCATGTGTGCACGAGGGTGAAGGGAGATGGGTTGGTAGCAATAAAGTGGTAGAACTAAAAAAAAAAAAAAACAGTGGTGGTTTAGTCTCTAAGTCATGTCTGACTCTTTTATGACACTTCACTGCACCAGGCTCTGCTGTCCATGGGACTTCCCAGGCGAGAATACTGGAGCGGGTTGCCATTTCCCTCTCCAGGGGATCGTCTCGACCCAGGGATCAAACC